GATGAATTTTCTGTCAAAAAAGGTGTGCCGAGGTGTATATTGGTTTAAAAAAATATATTGTTAAAACTGAATGTTTGGATTTGGTGTGTAAAAGTTTATGGTTCTTTGTTGTCTCTAAAAGATTACATTTTCAATTTTTTTCAACTTTTTTCCAGTTTACATCATTTATAAACCTAAATATGTTTATGCTTTAATGCCACACTAAGTGAGACAACGGTAATTAAAATAATGAAATATAAAATCTGCATTTTCCCACAACATTTTGAACAGAAAACACCAGCCAGTTTCTACACAATCACCTAAATATGTGCTCAAACTAACACACCCCTTTACCCTGATATACACTCTATTTTAACTCACATGTGTACGTTGTTTTATTGTCTTACTACCAGAGACAACGATGACAAAAAACGTGAACTCTTTCTCAATAAGCTTTTCCACATTTTGGACTGAAAATACCTAAACATGAATGCTTGAACTGAAACACATCTTCATCTATTTCACGTTTGAAATTTAAATCTGTACGTTGATTTATTGACACACTACCGCTAGAGACAGTAGACATGAGTAAATCAAAAAAGCCCGTATTCCACAATGTTTTTAACAGAAATCACGGGACAGTTTCTACACAATCACCTAAATTCGTCCGGGCAAACATAAACCTTTACCTACTTTACAACTGCCTGAAACTTAAATATGTACATTAATTTATTATGACACTACCAATGATGACGGTAATTTCAAACAGGTCATATTCCACAACGTTTTGAACAGAAAACAGAACGGTTTGCCACACTATCACCCAAATTCATCTGCTCGAGCTGAAACACACACCTTCAATTTGCAACTATTTGAAACTTGAATGTGTACTTTGTTGTCAAACAACTGGACATAACAACAATTTAAAAAATCCCATTATTCATGTTTCAAATAGAAAAACCAGCCAGTTTCAATTTAATCATCCTAATTTTATCTGCACAAACTGACAACGCTTTTATCTAATATGTGCTTGAAACCATGTTGCTTTAACGTTACACTACCAGAGACAGCGTACATTTAAAAAAATTAATAAATTTTAAGCTGAAAACACGGGACAGTTTCTTCTACACAACCACCTTAATAATCTGCTCAAGTTGAAACACACACTCTTATCTAATTTACATCTCTTAGAAACTGAAATCTGGACCTTGCTTTATTGTGACAGTACCGGAGACGAGGATCATTTGAAAAAGACCCCATTTTTCAGGCTTTGAACAGAAACACGAGCCAGTTTCTACACAATCRCCTACAAGACTTCTGCTGACCGGCCTCGGCCTTAAGCCCCGCAGGCCCAAACAACTCCTAGACCAACACCGTGCTTCCCACTGACCACGATAAGACCCCTGTGGCTCATGTTGTAAATATAGTGACTTTACAACCAGGAGCAAAAACACCACCTTGTAAACAACCGGAATAGTTTAATGACTGAAATATAATCCAAGCGAACAACTGTGTGACATTTAAAAATATAAATACAGCCCCCAAATTTTTTTTAAATGTTCATTAATGTGGCGTTGTCGCACTGAGTGAATATATTGAAATTGGCCTATTTTATTTCTTTTTTTCAATGAAAGGAAATTAATTTTACGATTTATTTCCATGACCTGCATTTTTCATTTTTTATTTGCAGACACGAGTACAAAAAGAATAATCTACTCTTTTMTTTTTCTCTTTTTTTATTATTATTATTTTTATTTTAGACTACATGTGAACATATTAAAATCTTTGGCTTGTTTTGAGTCTGTGGACTGCTCTTGTTTAATGAAAACGACAGGAAGTCACGATGGATCTATAAAAAACCAGACATCCTAAAAACCAGGGGGGGAAAAATAAAATAAGATTAAAAAATGTTTGAGAAATGATCCTGAAATCAAGTTATGCTGTGGTACAACATGATAACTGTGTGGCTATATAAATTTTAATTATATAATTATGTCCATATACTGTTACCATAAACAGCAATCTGTGTTTTTTTAAATAGCAGTTCTTCCCCGCCTCCCCGCCCAACTGGTATCCATCAGTATAGAGTCCGTGGGGCCCCCTGAGGGTCAGAGTCCGGGCCCCTCACTCGCTCTCCTCCTTGTCTTCCTGCACCGTGGTCGTGGAGTGGTTGTAAAGTCCTTGCGCCATGAGCTGCAGGGCCAGCCCGTTCTTGTAGCCGCTGGCTTTTTTGATCTTGGCCCGCTTGTTCTGGAACCAGATCTTAATCTGGGACTCGTTCAGGTTCAGTTCCTGGGCCAGGGACTGCCTCCGCTGCTCTGTTATGTACCGGTTGGCCTGGAACTCGGTTTTGAGTCTCTGCAGCTGCTCGGCCGTGAACGCCGTCCGGGGCCGCTTGTCCTCCTTGCTGCTCTTCTTCTTCTTCAGTTTGCGTGTCCTTGGGCCTGGCGTGGAAACAACAATGGAAAGAAAACATATTTATTCTATAAGGCCGGGAAACCAAGGGCACAAAGAGTTAAACGCTTCCAGTTTTTACCAGAGCGTCTCTGGTTTTTTCTTTTGCTCTGAAAAGCTCAAATGTAGGTCAAGAAAAAGCCCCAATATACAAACAGTCAGGGAGGACAGGGTTTACGTACATTTTTACAAAAACTTCTTCCAACATTTGAGGCAAAAAACACATTTTATGTAACTTAAAATGAACACACTGAAGCCTGAGTTTTAATGTCCAAACAGTGACTTTATTTGGACCAGTATGATGACGCTTTAGAGTAAAAACATATAACTGTTTATATCCTACACAGTAAACACTTTCATGCTAAATGCTAACTTTCAATAAAATTATTTGATCATTTTATTTATAGTTTAGCTTAAAAACGTACGTTTTT